GGCTACCATATAGAGACCTTGAGGCTGGTGGAAATACAACAATGACCAAGGAGCCGCTACGTGGGAATCACAAGATGTGAAAGTGCTGCTGGTCTCCCACGTCCGGTTTAATCCTGACACTCGAAGGAAGATATTACTTCATCAAACCATCTGGAGACAAGAAACTCTTCAAGCGTAAGAAATAAAATGCAAGGGAAAATATGCGCGGACAAGATGGTGTTTGTTTACAATTTTTTTTCCCTGAAAAGACAACTCTGCACATGCTCAACCCATTTAATCTGACTGAACGTTTGGTGAATGTACACCCACGGCAGGATCATGTAAACAGAGAATTGGGATTTCCAATCAACCAAATTTTGAATCGGACAGGGGAAATTTGGCGTGTGTAAATGCAGCTAGTCAGAATGACATTTCATTCCAATTGGACTGTATGGGATCAGAATTTTCTGATTGACATGTTTACATGAAAAATGTTGGATCTGATAGGACATTCATTCCTATTACCTCTGCCCATGTAAACATAGCTAGTGTTTCCTAATTTATTCTGGTAATCCTTGTAGATTCAAATGAAGGCTACTGGACGTCTTCATGACTTCAAGTTAGTCCTCCATCTGGATCTCCTAGGTCTACAATGACATGGAAAACTGAAAACCGTCATCAACTTATTCTGGTAAACCAGGATCCAAAAGCAACATCTGATTTTTAATGGTTGATAATCAGTGAATTTCCAGGGACCATTGTGGCATTTGCTTTCTTTAAGGGTACTGAGCACAAGTTTTGATGCAACCATGATGATTTAACCCTGTAACTCTGAACTAAAGGAAAGCTGCATGCACTGCTGAAGTGTTCAGATATAAATCACAATAAAACCATCATCACTTAGAATCTGATGTAGACTATTGTCATTGAACCCTTGACTCACTAACCTCAATGCATCATTAAATATTATAAATAAACAAGATCCTAAAGTAAATGCAGGGCTTGGCTCACGGTTGTTATCTCCATGTAACACAAACTGACAAAGTGTTTTTAAACTTCTAATTATGAATATGTCCACAATAAAAAAATGTCCCCACTGTGAGATTGTCACGTTCTGCCCCCGCCTTCCTGACTGTGTCTCTCTCCTGCCCTGATTAGCCTTTATTGTTCTCACCTGCCCCTCGTTAACCTGCCCATGTGTTCCTGATTTCCCTGTATATTTATACCTCCCTCCTTTTACCAGTCTTCGTCGGATCATTGTATGTGCATGTGCTTGTTTGTCCTGTTGCTCCCGTTCCACCATTAAAACCATTTTTATTTTTCATCTGTGCCTGCTCTCCTGCCTCCTGAACTCTCCACCACACATGGTCTACCATCTCCACTCCTCCCAACATGAAAGAGATAAATTAATTCTATTCTATTCTATTCTATTCTATTCTATTCTATTCTATTCTATTCTATTCTATTCTATTCTATTCCTCTCACATTACACTCAAAAGGAGAAAGAAAACCTTTATGTAATTTCTCTGGTTTTAGCTTTTAAAACCTGTAATCTGTGCTAATCTGATTGTCAACGGGATTTGACTGATTTTTGTGTAGATGTCCGTATTTCTTAGATGGTGATTAGGAATGAACAGGATAATGATCAACCATAAAGAGCGTATATGAACCTCTGGCGGAGCCTTTGGTTTAAACATGCCTGGTATTTATTTGCTGTAGATTTCAGCCATCCCTAAAGTGTCATTTAAACGTTTTAAACTTTCAGTTTCCTGCAGAGTAGTTTGTGAACCTTTACATTAAAATGCAGAAACGACAGCAGATAAACCTCTCAGTTGCAGCCCATTTGCCTAGGATCACCTGTACAGTAGTTACGACACACTCCATTGAAATTCCATTAGCTTCCTGTTTAAATTCCAAACATGTTTGAAAAAGGATCGGTCTCAGACTCGAAGAGGCTCATGCAGAGGAAGGTGTTGCTCTTCTTTGATAGAAGGAAGACCTGCAGAAACATATGAAACAAACTCTGACTGATAACCAGAGGTAGCGCTCAACGCCTACCTCCATATTTTAGTGGGTACTCTCCGATGTAATGTATGCCTTGAATCTTAAAAGACAATATTTTATGAAAGAGTCTGCAGGTTTTCACCATAACTGAGAGGCTCTCAACCCAAGATAATATCAGGAAGCTGCTTAATGTATGGCTGCATTGTGCTTTGAAGCCTCACACCATGACTGAAACTTCTCTGCCTCTTTGACTTCAGCTGAAAATTAATTGAAATGATCCGTCGTACCCACATGTGACACAACCCTCCAGCTTGGCGAAGTCCGCCCACTTTCCTTGTTGAGCATCTCTTCTTTAAACTGAATTGCTGTGTCTTTGACAATTTCCCCGCCGCTTCCTGCCCCGCGTCCTGTTGTGCTGTGTCGCCTCCCACTCAGATATCCGCGTTAACTTTCCACAGGTGCTGAGTGAAGTGACCACTACTATTGTTTTTCTGCTCTGTGAAGAGTCTCCATCCTGCTCTGAATATTGTGTTGCTGTATGTGTGTGTTTATCCTCACCCTCCCACCTACTTTTTTGTACTTGCTTGCTTGTTTATAAGATTTTGTGCATTTTTCTGCCGTTAGAGAGTGTTTGCTGCCTCTGCCTGCTCCACACAAGCTGAAAATCATTTTTTCTGATGCTAGTGATAAATGCTGCATCCCATGATCTGTCACTTTCTGTCTCCTTTGTTCATATAAAATCGAAGGTATCGATTTTCTGTGCTTTTTAGCAACATTAAGAACTTTACCATCATGAATAGAACATAATACCTCTACATAAAACTCTCACCCACCACGTTGTCAGGTTAGAACATTTTGCCCGTCAGAACAGTGCAGGTTTTTGACTCAGTGAGTCTGAAACATTGCTGAGAGGTCCTGGTCTATATGGACAGGATGGCATCACCCAGCTGATGCAGATCTACGGGATGTACGTCCCTGATGTGAATCTTTTTTTTCCCCAAAATCGGAATTTGCTGGAATGGGTTGAGATTTGGTGAATATGGAGATCATCGTCGTGTTGAAGGAAGCAGTTTAAGATGATCTGAGCTACGTGGCATGTGTCGTGTCTGCTGTAGACGGTTTGTAGAATATCATACAATGTTGGATTTCTGCATGTAGCTTAGAATAACTACAGCTTAAAATGAATGTGAGTCAGCTGATTCACATGAAGCATTTCCGTCTGGCATGGCAGCAGGAGGACATGGTTTACCTGTCAGGATAACCTTTGACCGCTGTGGCAGATGTGTTATTTTATGAAATTAGCAGGATTCATTACCAAGAGGCTAGCTGATCGGCTCTGGCTGAAGCAGCAACTCTGATGCAGAAAGACCCTCTGTGGGCAGAAAGGTCACCTTATAGGGATGAGAAGGAGCCTCGGACATAGCTAGAGAATGGTTGGTTACTCTGAGGATGTCCGGTTTCTCATCTCTCACTTCCCGTATGGGATTTGAAAGTTTCCGCTGAAGTAAATAAAAAGGGTGCTTTGGGCGGAGGATTCCTCCAGAGACATGCATGAATCTGTACTCGTGTGGACTGGGTTGAAATAAATCTGTTTCCTTTTTCAATTGAATTCCCAGATTAGAGTCATTCCACTCCAATATGAAGGAACAGCTCAGCATGAAAATGGTGTTATCCTGCTGGAAGTAGCCATCAGAAAATGTTGGTGACACCAAATTCTGAGCTGCCCATCTGACTCGCTGAAATCCAGCCTGATGAGACCAGGACGGGTTTTTCCAGTGATTCTGTGAGAAGTGAAGCTTCAGTTCCTCAGAGAGCCCTGTTGTAGACCAGGGGGTTCAGCTCCATACAATATATATAATAATATAATATTATTATTATATAATATAATATCCAGCAATGCACACACCTCTGCTCACTGGATATTCTATCTGCTCCAATTATTCTCTATAAACCATGGAGAAGGTTGTGGGTGAAAATCCAGACCAGTTTGTCGTCACACGCTGGTGAAACTTGTTCCCTGCATTTGACCCATCCCCTGGGTGAGTGGTGAGCTTAAGACACGGCTGTGCTCGGGAACCATTTTGGGTTTAACACCCTAATCAAACCCCTTACTGCAGGGTGTCAAACAGGGAAAGACTGGGTCCCGCTTATAAAGTCTGTGGTATGACCAGGCCGGTATTGAACCCACAATCTCCCAGTCTCAGCGTGGACACTTGTACCACTAGGCTGGAAAAATCCACTTCATTCTAATTTCATCTCCATTCTGATCCTCAGTTTGAACTTCAGGAAGTTGTCTTCTCCGTGTCTCAACACTTGAAGGAATTGAGCTACTGCCATGTGATTGGCCCATGACCTATTTGCATTTAGAAACAGCTGAACAGGTGTAACCAATAGGATGTTTGGTGGGTGTAAATGACTATAGTTGCAAACATGTAAAGGGAGTTTTTCTCCTGAAGCCATTTTCCAGACGGATTTGTAGATCCATCAGTAATAGAGAAAGGGGGTTTCATTCTGCTTCTTTAATAGATCCAACTGCATTTGGTTTAATTTACCTCCTGATGTCTGTAGCCCAGAGCATCACTGTTGCTGTTACGCCATTAAACCACAGAATGAAGCCTTTCAGTACCTGCCAAGTGACACTGTAATCATTTAGTTCAAATAGAGCTTAATGCTTTCTGTCAAGTAATACTTTGCAGGTTGCTTTGTAATCTGACTGGGATTGCAGGTCAGTCAGACAGACTTTGGTGATTACATTCCACAAGGAGAACCGCTTGATGAATGGTCCTGGGTTTTAAATATCATAATGTGGAGATAATGTAGAAGAAGGGAAACATTCGTGCATGGAAACCCAATTTTATGAAATCGCTCACTGTACATATAACAGAAGTACGGGGCCTATTTCAGTGATGTGTGCAGTAGGAACCTGAAAATGAAGAAAAATAGAAGCTTGTATTTTTTGTGTTGCTGTCAGAAGAATAATCGATGTCCACACTTGTGTGTTGTGACTCTGTCATAAGCAATAGGTTTGGATTCGTGCCCAGAGCCGCTACCTCCCAGTAACGGTCAGAGAGTGGGGGATCGCTACACCGTGGGGGACATGGTTTCCTTCCAGTGCGATCAGGGATTCTCTTTGCAGGTAGGTGAAACCAAACAACGCACACGCTTTGGTGTTTTTATGGTCCTGATGGATGAATCAGATCTAGGAGCCTGGAGGGTAACTAGACGAATACCTCAGGACAGACTCTGACCCTACCAATGATGTGTGTGTGTGTGTGTGTGTGTGTGTGTGTGTGTGTGTGTGTTTGTGTGTGTGTGTGTGTGTGTGTGTGTGTGTGTGTGTGTGTGTGTGTGTGTGTGTGTGTGTGTGTGTGTGTGTGTGTGTGTGTGTGTGTGTGTGTGTGTTTCAATCCGCCTTCAGTAGATTGTGTAGCAGGAGCATTCTGAGTTGTAGAGCCCTTCATGGCCACAGGCAGATGGATTGTGTTAGCAGGCGCCTCACTAATCCCGTGCCGATTTTTTATCCTGGCTCAGTCATTCACTTCTTCTCACATTCTCTCTGGACCAGCCAGCGACTTCTTACACACTTCCTCAGTCTGAGTGTCTGAACCAGGAATAGACTTGAGGCCATT